CCGCCTTCAACTGCCTCAGGCCCCTCTCTCTGATGGCCTCTTCCAGCTGCTCGTGGGTCATGGCGATGGGGACATCCTCTAGGGGTGGGCGCCCGGTCGGCCCCTCTTTCCTCTTCGCCGTGCCCTGAAGCCGGGTCAGCGCTCGATCCATGTCCACAGGCCACAGCCCCGCCCCGCCGAAGGATGCTTTGTTCCGCTCCCGTGTAAAGCTCCTTTGCCAAGCCGCCGCGATCACGCCGGGCACGTCACGCTTCAGCGGTAACAACCCGCCGTCTGCGTGGTGGTATATCGTGCAGCACTTTAGTCACCTCCTTCTTGAAGGTTCCGAAAGCGACGACGTCCAACGGCTGGGTGATGTGCGACGTGTGGGAGGGCATCTGGAAGAGAATGATGTTGAGTTCCATGGCCAATTCGATGACTTCGTAGCTCACGTGCAAGGCATGCCCATCAAGCACGAGGATGTGCGGCTTTCCGTCGAACACGCCTCGGTCGTCGAGCTGCTTGTGGAAGTCCTTGAGGTACTTGATGAACACGTCGCCCTGCATGAACGAAGAGTCCGTGCATGTGTGCCTCGCATCCTTCGGGCCGTTCCTCTCGGCGAACCTGTTGGGCTGGAGTTGCTGTCCTTTGAAGATAATGGTTGGCGCCCACGTGGCACCATTGGCGCAGATGGTGGTGACCACGGTGGTGTTCTCTCGCGAGTTGGACCACATCAACTCAACCACCTCCTGCCCTGCCTCCGCGAAGGCCTTCATCGTCTTCGTGCCTTGCGGTGTGGTACTTAATTGCACCCGCGAGAGAGGGAGCCAAATCGCGTAGGTGGAGGTCAAGGCGGGTGACCAGCTACGGCAGATATAAAATGCAAAGGACAAATACACCCAAACACAATGCAATGGACAGATTACCGCGCTCCTAGCAGGATAGCCCGCGCTTCACCGAAGGAACGGGGCGGTCATGTATTTTTCTTGAAGCAAGTTGCCACCTACTTTGTCTACATTCGTCGGCGGTAGTTGGACTGGACTAGCAGCAGGAAGAGCAACAGCAAGGTGTGCCTATTCTATGCTCGGTACTCGTCCTAGACCAGACTCGTCTGCTGTACATCGTTTACACACATGCACGCTGTCCTGCTGTACCCGCAAGCTACGCTTTCTGCAGGGTAGACTTGCGGAACAATCGGCCAAAAAGACCATGCGACACAGCCCTTTCTCTATGGTACATTTGTGTAGTTAGCAGTCTGAACTACTGCTGTACTCTACTCTAGACCACTCTAGACCACAGCCAGCGTCGACTTCGGCAACATGGAACAGGTGCGAGGGCGCACAGCACAGGTGAGATAGAGCACAGCAGTACGTACGTACACCAGAAGGACGTCCCGTATCTTCGAAAATTCGGCTGCACACCACCGCAAGATATTGACATGCCATCTTCGCGGTCTTTGCACACGAGCTCGCACACTGCAGCTTCTACTGATACCACACTAGTCTAGACTAGACTAGTCAACAAGAGTACATCCTCACCTGTCTCGTCCGTGTTGTGCACGTGGTCGGCCTCCGGCTTGTGCTCGTCGAGGAGAGCTGGTCACTTCTTGTAGAACTCCACGATGAAAGGCTCCTTGTCCTCGGTGATCCTGTTTGACTCGTAGATGCGAGTCGTGCGCTCCGACACCCGTGGGTGCCTCTTGAGGAAGACAGCTAGCCAGTCCTTCCCCGGACCCTTCTCTGGATCCCAAGGCATCGGGCGACCGTCGTTGCACAGCTGTCTACCGGTTTCCAGCAGGTGCAGCCGACCCACAGCCAAGCAGTGACGACCAGCGTACATCAGAACATCTTCAAGAGAATTTTCCTCTTCTTCGCTCAGGCCAGTCGCGGGACCAACTTTTGCTTTCATGGCCACCGCGCCATCGAGGCGGCTCCCACCTATCTAGCCCAAAGGGCCTAGAGGCCTCTCGGATCTTCATGCCACCTCTAACTATATATAATAACTGTTTCATATGGCTTCCAAGCTTGCTCTGAGTCCACCTGGCGGCGGCCCATGCTTATCAGCAAAACCAGCAAAAGACCGAAGATGGCCCGCGTAGGCGGTGGGTGGTGGTGCTGCTGCTGTATCTCGTCGCTGGATGCTCTGATTGCGACGCTGAAGTGCTATTAGTGCTCAAACGAAAGCTCTAGTCTCTCCGCGAACTTCAGAAGAATTGTTCTAGGGGCTCCGTGACTGTTAATGAGATACCCCGATTTGAAAAAATGTGGTTGTTAATACCCGGGTGGTTGTTAATACCCGGGTGGTTGTTAATACCCGCCGCTACTCTAGATAGACTAGAGCGACTGGAAAACCTCCATTGCTCCATAACCAAGGATAACCAAGGGGGAGAGGAAAGCATGCGACACGCCGACAGTTTGCCCTCGAACAAGATGTTCGAAAACCACCATTATTGTTGTTGGCACAAGCTTGTCTGTGGGGACAGTTGGGCTAGGAAAATCGGTCTACGGCAGCAGTACACAGCAGTGGGGATCCTATTTCTCCGCCTCTTGCGCTGCCGGACGAAAAGACTTGGGTTCGAAAACACCTGTGGGTCTGTGGCTTTTCAGAGAACCACGCAAAAAGTGTTAGAGGTCGTCTAGACTGGGGGTGACTGGGGGTGGAGGGATATCACCTCACCGAGTTGGAATCAATCTTCAGACACAGCAGGAAAAATGGGCGGCAAAAGGCACGACGTCGACAACGACGACGGCAGTACGGTACACAGAGATTATGACACGGAACCCCGCTCCTATTCCTGAACAGATAGACGCCTCCTCCTCACCGGGACACCAGGAAATTGAGCGCGAGCACAACAACTTGTGCTTTGACAACCAATACACGAACGGCCCTAAGCGTCAACAGATACCTGAATGCCAAGAATCAAGCGCTGGAACAGCGAGTTTTTCTTCACCAACCAACAAGAACACGGCCAAAAGCCTAATATTTTTGCACAGCCCCAAGCCTCAATAAATGTCATACCAGCATGCCAAGAAGCGTGTTCACCCAGACAAGTCCCCCCCATCATTGATAAAACGTGCAACTTCTGCGAAAGAGCGACGTGTCACAAAAAAAAACTACACAATCATACACAAGAGAGACCCCCCCGGCCCAATTCGCGGATTGCCGAAGTGGAACTCCCCTGATTGCTTGGTCCTCGGGGTTGGGTGATCCGTCTCCCTTTTGCACGGCCTTTTCAACGCATACTAAAACGGCAACATTGCCCACACAACAAAACAAATGTGTGACGAACCACTATAATTCGATGTTGCAACGAACCTCAGACAGCACATATAGAGACAAGGCGGACCCGTCCCGGAGCTGGCTCAACGCCTACACAACACTTGAGAAACGCCTAATTGATGTCAGCGTCCGCCGCATCCACGAGAAATCAGACGCTGATACGGTGTAGTGCTTCCACTCGTCCTTCGTCAGATCGCGACTTCTGTATCGCATGTGAGCATGGTCCTGTCCTGCCTGTACAGCCAGCCATCCGCCCGCCGCATCACCCAGTCAGAAGCGAGCGAGGGGACTACTATAGCTGGGCGGGAACCCGGTTGAGGTTGGCTGTTTTCAGTCAGTAGTCTGGTTGCCCCGATTCGTCGTCTTCTCCCGCTTGATCGTCGTCGTCGTCGTCGTCGTCGTCCATCATGGCACCCTCAACCCCCGTAGACGGCTCATCCTGTTTCGTTTACATGAATTGAAGCGTCCATCCGAGCACAAGCGGACGTGAAAAAGTACGCGAGGCTGAGCTGCACGACCTGAGGGCGAAAACAAGCTGACAGCGCGATGTAGTCAGAGCGCGTTAGCAGAGAGACTGAGTTGCCGTGGTGGGGCTTATTCGCCGAGCTAGACAACCTGCGCACCAGCTGTGACAGGACGGACACCTCCGACGATATTGCAGCTGGGTGACCCCCTCTCAACAATGAGTGAGATACAAAAGAGGTCGTTGATAATGCCTGTAAGGCATGCGAAAGGGGCGCGTTGGTCACTCGCTAAAACACCAATTCTCTTCACTGTTGCGGATCTCCCATGTTCCCCCGCAAAACATTTCCGAGCCCGAGAACTACGTTGACCGTTCGCTGACAACAATCCGGTGGGAACGATATCGTCACATCGCACGCGGCCTATGCTCTGTACCCAGCAACCAAGCCACCGCTCACCGCTACTTGCGTCGCCTGCGCCGCCGCTGCAGCCGCCACCGCTGCCACTGCCTCGTCGCCCTCTCTCGGCGCCGCCATGTCTTGGGTGTCCCTGGTCTTCTCCTCCTGGTTGTCGTCCTCGTCGGCAGTTGCGTCGTCCTTCATTGCGCCGCAGGCGACGGCAAATAAAATGCGGCGGTCAATTCTCTCGGGCGGCAACGCGGGGGATTGGTTCGACAAGGGGTCGTCATGTGAAAAAATATTCAGCAGGGTCCTGCGACGGCGGCACGTCGTAGGCCACCATGGTACCTACAGCTTCCGAAAAAAAAGGGAACGCTACAAGTACATCCTGGTATACCGACACAACATCAAGAGCTTCCAGCTCGCCAGTCTCAGGTGGACTATTGCCGCCAAGAGCGAGGCATGGGGAGCGCTGTCAAGGCAAAGGTGCACTTGGGGGCCATCTGCCCCTGGTTGGCGCACCTCTTCCTCCGGCGTGCTTTGGCCGACGTAGGGCGGGGAGGGGTGCAAGCGGATCTTCTCCTCCGCCCGCCTCACCGCATCCTCCAGTCGCCCGACGACCACAATCTCGTCAGACTCGAGGCGAGGGAACCACGCTTTTCGTGTGCAAGAGGTAGTGTGGGCAGTTTTGTCCGTGTTGTTCCCCGGAAGCGATTATCGTTTGGAGGAAGAGGGGCCGTGAAGGCATCGGTCGAGGCAGGGACACAAAAAAAGGAGTCATTTGTCGGCGGTGTGTGTGTGTCCTTTTCATTGAAATAATAGCATCGACCCCGAAAATCCGCTGGCCAATGAAAAGACGTCAGTCTCAGTGCGGCTAAAACCAGAAATGTTTCTAAAGGCTACGATGATCGGATCGGGGACCCCGTGAGGGCGAGTCAGGTCATGGGGGAGGCTACCCTGCTCTCCGCATTAAGGACAGAAACGGTAGCAAAAGAAGATAGCTGCACGTGTCCATCCAAGGGCTGCTACTTTGCACCGGTGTGTGCGCGTGAGTTTCTCCACCCCGAAAGGGTCTGGTTCGGTTCGATTGTCTGCATGCTCGGCTTTGGGTGTGCGTCTTTTGTGTCAAATCAATTTCTCCGACCGGGTATCACGTCTTCATCGCGGTGGGTGATTCTCATGGTAAATGATGCAGCCGATAAGAGTGCTCCGGATGCTTTGCGCGAGCTGTTCCTTCAGCGTTCTGCCGTCTGGTGAGGTGGAGTTTGACTTGCGAGGACCGCAAGGGGACAAGAGCGGATGCATACACATACATGTGACCCACATGTGACATACATGCGAGGACCGCAAGCATTGAGGATGGCCAAGACAGCAGTAACCACGACAAAAAGTGAGAAGCAGACAAAAGGTACAAGCAGGAGGGTGTACACATAGGGCCTCTTTGTGGCGGCCTTGTGCGCCGATGGGCCTGGAGACGTGCAAGAACGTCGGTAAAGTTGATGGTGCCCATGCTCTGCATGGTTCCTGGCCATGTTGTCCATGTGTCTGAATGGGATTGGGAGTGGTTGATTCGCGCACGGGCGATCGCCGCGAAGCCGATCGCCGCCGAGCTGTTTTTCCAGGACCCACCGACTGTTTGAGAAAAGGGGGGGTGGGTACAGTATGTCCGACTACGGTTATTTCTCGAACTTTATTTCTCGAACATGTAGTGGTTTTACGTATTTTTCTTGCAGTAATAGTCTATGCCGTAGCACTACAGCAGGACCCACCATCGTGTTCCTCCGTGCCTTACCGAAACACACGATCATGCGTAAAAGGGCCCATTGCGCCCAGAGCAGCCAGTGCTTGCAACCGCACGAGACTATTGTACGCAGGTACAGATATCTCGAACAAAAGCATCACCTACGGCCCTGCAAGAGGTGTGATATCGTCCGTGATATGCATGACTCCTATAGCAGTGTACTGCGAAATATATCTGCCGAATGTAAGAGGGGGCGGTGGTATGCAGCTTTGTAATGCTGTGTACATTTGAATATTACGCAGGCCCAAAACTCCAACTTTTGGCAGTGGCTACCCTGTTGCAGGCTTTCTCGAGGGCCACGTCCAAGAAAGAGAATATACACGTGCCCAATGCCAGGCAGGGCTGTTCCAGAAATAGAGTACATGTGATCAATTGCATGTCGATCGATAATGACCGTCCCATGTCGTGTGATGGCATCCTAGGGACATCCGCGCGCGCCCATACCTTCTTCCGTGTGGCTCGGCTGCAGGGGTGGGAATCCGAAGGAAAGCGTGGACATGATTCTTTCTAGAACAAATCCCTAGGGTAGTTCTCCCTCTAAGATCACCTTCGCTCCCAAGCTTGCATCGCCACGCGCACAGCCGTGATTTTGAACTACTCCGCACCGCAGTGTGTGCGTGACCGGAATGTTCAACGCCTTCAAGAGGCACCGTGAATAAATGTAAGCACAATGAACGCCATAGGGGTACCAGGGGTTTCATCGAACTCATCTTCGAGCCCCCCATCTGTGGTGTAGTTAGGTAGGTGAGCCAGGTCGTTTTGATGGATTTCAACGACATGAACATGAGGTCTGGACGGAGAACCGGCTGGGGTTGTGCGTGGGCGGTGGCAGCGAGCTTATGCGTCAGAACGGGGGCATTTTTTTCTACGCCCCCCCACAGCAGGAGCAGGTGGGGTCGGGCAACTACAGAGGTGAGAGAGACCATAGGGGCTGAATATGTTGGTGCTGTATTGTATCCTTTGTCTCGTCTTGTTTCCCAGGAAACTTCGGTCACAGCTGCTGCGTTGACAGAGAGCGGGTGCTGTTGGCGCCATGGCCTGTTGCTCATGCTTAGCGGTGGGGTGAAGTCTACGATCTCCATCCCCCTTTCTTGTTCGCACACGAAGTAACGAAGATGCAGGCTAAATGTTCGGTGGTCCATCAGGAAGCAGCTGCCAACAGCTCGCACCGGAGATTGGTCACTAGAATAGCAATAGCTGTACAGCAGCGTGGGGTAGGGAGTGGTGCACGGGCGACGGCTGGACGGAGTCGAATGATTTCTTATGAAATCATTCGCTGCCACACTTGTTCGTCCGGCAGCATGTTGAGACAGGACAGCGTTGGTTTGCCGAACCCGCGTACTTTTGCGGGGTTGGTCTGGTTAGGAGGTGGCTGGCGAGCAAGCTCGTAAAAGCAGTCGGGGCTTTTCGCCGCCGCCGCAGCCACAACAGCAGTAGTTTTGGGTGCCGCCTTTGCAGCAAGTAGTTCTCCTGAGGAATAAAACACCATCATGGAGACAACCCGTTAGAGAATATACCCCTTTCGTCGGGACGTGTTCAAGTTAGCCTTTCCGGGGAGGGTTGTGGTCATCTGCTGGATGGCGATGGCGGCCTACCTAGCAATGAGTCTGTGAAGCCGAAACACTTGCTCCGAGCAATTTCTAAAAAACACGGCGACGCTGCCCGTTGCAGCAGCAGTTCCGTGCCCTGCACACCCCTAGCACCCACTGGCCCGACGCTGCTTTCGTCGCAACCTTGCTTAACCTCCTCCCGGCAACGGATACCGCCGCTTTCTCTCTCTCTCTCATCTCTCTCTAAAGCTGAACGGGGTGCGAGAGTGGAAGCAGGGGCAGCCTGGAGACCTCAGAGAGATCGGCCTCCTTCCGTTCCCGATCGATGACGTCATGTGTCCCGGAGAGACCAAGGCGTTGCACCTATACGAGGTGCGTGTGCCATAGCAGTAGATGCGGTGGCGTTGTCGTGAGCCTACCTTGTGGTATATCGGGATGCGGCGGGGGTAGGGGGGGGAGGGGTATTCCGAGTGGGCAAACTTTGGCAAGTACCAAAAAGGCCATTAACCAGAAACGGGTATACCCGGGTACTTGATCACGACTTGAAGGTAGTTAGCAATCAACACGCTTGCACCACCAGGCTGTCAGCTGGATGGCCGAAAGACTATTGTACCCATTTCGGAAGAGACCTCCATCGGGTACAACTTCCGCTGGAATAGGACCCTCTCGTGTGACTGATATTGGTTACTGGTGTACCCGGAAGAGGTCGATTTTGTACCCAGAAATGGTCATATAATCCCGGCGCCCGACGCTCTAGCATAAGACCATCCGAAAAAACCGTGTAACGCACATACCGTGTACCGCACATACGTAACCACAACCAAAGGACCAACAACGCTCGCTCGTTCGTCGTTCATGGGCACCTCCATAGGATACCGGCCCCTCTCGACAGAGGGTCGGGCTCGCTTGACGCGCGAGTTCGCTCGGTGTGGTGCTGATCAGTAAAAGATCACAGAGAGAGAGAAACGGGCACGACCTGCCTCGTGCATCATTCTTCCGAGGCACAGGACACAGACAGCGGGGTATTGGTTTCGCCGCGATCAACGGCGGATGCTGTCGGAGATTGGTGTCGTCTTGATTTCCAAGTGTACCCTGAAATGGTGATGACCCACCCGGGTATACCCGTTTCTGGTTTATTTCTACCAACAATGTTGTCGAGCAGCGCTCGGTTCCTCCAGCACTCGTGAGAACGAGCCGGGCACCTGGACGCAGCGGAAACCCTCGGATCAAACACGTCGTGAAAATCGGGGAGCTTCGTGCGGACAAGCACAGCCGTAAGGTAGCGGTCCCTCCTCACTTGACGACGTTTCCCTTGTGTGACCTGTGCGACCAGTAGGATACAAGTCGGAGACAACCCACCGTTCGGCGCGCTTGGCATGTACAAGGCTTGGATATCGCGGAGCCTGAACGCGACGCTTCTATTTGGGGGGGG